TCTCCATCGAAGGTATAGCAGCAAGCACGGTACGTCTGTTGCTAATCCACTTTGTGAGATGAAAGCCCCCTTGAGCACAAAGTGCACAAAGGTCATGATAGAGTGCCACTGCCTCCTCCTCTGAGACCACAGATGTTTGACAATCATCAACATAGAAATTGTGCAGGACAGTGTTGATTGCTTTGGGGCTGAACTGCTCCCGATGGTCCTCTGCACACTTTCTAAGGGCAAAACTAGCACAACTTGGTGACGATGTAGCTCCAAACAGATGTGCAACCATTCTGTGCTCTTCTAAGTTCTGATGATGATCTCCATTTGGCCACCAGAGAAACCTCAACAGATCCGAATCCTCAGCTGGTACTCGAACCTGATGAAACATGGCTTCAATGTCTGCCTTGAGTACAACAGGTTCCTTTCTGAATCTTGTCATGACTCCAACCAGTGTGCTGGTAAGATCTGGTCCCTGTAGGAGCTGCATATTCAGCGACGTTCCCTGGAATGTAGCTGCACAGTCAAATACGACCCTGATCTTTTTCTTCTTTGGGTGGTATACACCATGGTGTGGTATATACCATACCCTGCCGTCACTGCGTTCCAGATCCACAACTGGCACTTTCTCTGCATAGCCCTTCGAAAGGATGCCATTCATGAAAGCGGTGTAATCAGCATGAAATGAAACATCTTTATCAAACCTTCTCTTGAGGCTCAGTGTACGTTGTTCTGCTACTCTCCTTGTCCTCCTTGTTTGTTTGGCATACTAACATCCCTTTTCCTTAAAGGTAAGCCAATACAGTAATGGCCATCCATCAACTTAGCAGACTTTGTGACGTACTCCATAAAGTGACAGTCCTCTCTTGATGGTCCCATCTGCTCATCCTGACTGCATTCAGGGAAATCAGCCTTTAGCTGCTGCTTCCACAGATCTTCAAGGTTTGCAACAGATATCCTATTGACAGTGACATCTGGCTGTCCACAAGTAATTTCACTACTCCTGTCTCCTCTGAGAGGTCCATTGACAGTCCAACCCAGCATAGTTTTGACTGCATATGGGCCCCCGTCTACACTCCGAATAACTTCCCATGGCTCCAGTGCCTCAGGAACATTAGTCCCAATCAACAGGTCCACATCTGAATCAATCTCAGTAATCATTACATGTTTCAGGTGAGGCCATCTCTGAAGGTCTTTCTGCCGAGGAATGTTGCCTCGATGAACTGGCATAGTTTTCTGGGTGTAGGTGTTAGGCAGCTCACAATAATGACTGCTGTCTAATCCAGCCACATGCAGGTCAGAAACAATGTGACATCCAACTATTTTCTCCTGACCCATTGTCCGAAGGAGAATGTCTGTTCTTCTTCCCCTGAGATTCAGTTTGTTCATCAGCCGCTCCGTGCAGAATGATGCTGAGCTCCCAGGATCCAGGAAGGCATATGTTATGAATGTTTCATGTCCCTTCTTAGACTTTACTTGAATAGGCACTATGGAGAGAGTACAATCTGGCTCACCGGCCCCTGTAAGACCACTGGACTGAACGGAGATCAGAGCACTGCTTATAGCTTTTCCTTTAGCTTGCATTGTGTCAGTTTCTTTCTCTTTCTGATAGATATGAAGTATGCTTGGGTGCTTCAGACTGCATACTTTGCACGAGAGGCGTTTCCTGCAGTCTTTACTCATGTGCCCAATACACAAGCATCCAAAACACACACCATATTCCCTTAAGAAAGCGATTTTCTCACTATGAGCCTTTCTTTCCAGTTGAAAACACAGATCCAGTGTATGTCCACCTCCACAAAACAGGCAAACACTTGTGTCTAGTGAGCCTCTCTCCTTCATTCTTATTCCAGGTTCCACTTTATTTTCCGCTGTCGTAATAGTAGTAGCAAAGCTGCTTCCCCTCATCCTTGAACGAGGTTCAAACTTAGCTTTCCTCACATCTTTGTTGGCGGCTGGTGGAGTATCCTGTATATCTCCAAACAGTGGATCGCTCACAATATCCACCTGTCTTTCAATGAAGTTAACAATATCCATGAATGTAGCTCTCCGGCCCTGCCTTTTCTGTAAGTCATAGGCCAGAGTTCTCCATTTGTCCCTATATTTGTAGGGCAACTTTTTTATGATGGCTAGCATATTGCTAGGCATGTTCAACTCACGCATGTATTCAAACTCTTCCATGACGTTGCAGCATCCTCTCAGAAAGAGACCGTAAGCTTGCAGAGCTCGCACATCTTCTACTCTTATTGGCTGCCATGAAAGAGCCTTTTCCATGTAAGCTGAAACAATTTTCTGTGCATTACCAAAATGCTCCTGTAGCAAAGCCTTTGCTTTGGCATATCCTCTGTCATGGGCCATATATGCCATAAGGTGAACCCTGTTATCGTTTCATCCCGCTCCACAGAAGTGGAACTACACAATCGTTAGTTCATAAAAAAGAACGAGTCATGCTTATCCACCAAAAAAAAGTTTGTCGCTAAAATTCCTGTCAATTCTTCTAGGCACGTAATTATTGGCTGAACTAGTCCCTTCAAAGCGTAATAATATCTTGGTCAAAAGTAGTGCCACGGTCCGTCACGTGATCGTGCTACACCAATTGGGTAGCTGCATATACCGGTATCAACAAACAGATTTGGAAAAAATGGCGACCGCCATGGTTTCATCGAGTAGCGGGGACGAGGAAAACGCACCAGAAAGTCTCAAAAAGTCAAAATGATCAACACACACACATTGTTACATGCATATTACGTCTGTGAAGCATGAAAAGGTTGATTATTTTACCAATACAAGATGGAATACGTACAGGACAAGCTTACAACGGTGGCATTGATTTTGAAGTTACAAATACAATATTATCATATTACAATAATAATAATTATAATAATATAATATATATATATATATATTATATATATCTATAATAATAATCTATATATATCTATAATAATAATGTAATTCATCAAATTATTATATGATGAATGAGTAAATAAATGAATCAATGGTCATTGGTATAAGTACTGCATTTTATTGATCTAAATTACTTAACGTAACAAGTTAACCTTCTTCTTGGACGCAGCTATGTATGAAATCAAGTCATGTTTATTTTAAGAGTGCATTTAACGTGTACAGGGTAACAATAACAACAGACAGACAGACAAAAAGTCCTCAGTCTAATGGAATAATCCACGAGCTCAGCCAATGAACCTAGCGATGCGAACATGGTAGTCCAGGAATGTTGTTGTAGCTAGAGTTGGCTGATAAACGCTGCTAGCCAATGTTGATTCGATGGTCAACTCTGTTCCCAGAGAGTAAAACCTCTCACAAATACCGCGTATATAACGCAAATACCTCGGACTTAGTGATGTATTAAGACATATGACAAAACATGACATAAAACAAGCATACAGCACTGTTTAGAATCCATTTGGTCTGGTTTAGTGTAACCATGGAGGCGGCCATCTTTCACTTCTGTTGACAATATGCAGCTACCCAATTGGTGTAGCACGATCACGTGACGAACCGTGGCACTACTTTTGACCAAGATATTATTACGCTTTGAAGGGACTAGTTCAGCCAATAATTACGTGCCTAGAAGAATTGACAGGAATTTTAGCGACGAACTTTTCTTTGGTGGATAAGCATGACTCGTTCTTTTTTATGAACTAAAGATTATGTAGTTCCACTTCTGTGGAGCGGGATTTCTTTTCTAAAGGACTTTTCGAGGTTCACCTTGCGGCCTAATATGCTGACAGCTTCTGACAAGCTCCAAAGGCTGCCCCCTGGTGTACTGTTTGAGAAAATACAGGCAGTCTTTAGGGTTGTGAGTCTTCTCCTCAATGCTGTGCTCAAAAGCTCTTATGAATGCTTGATATTGAAACGGAGAGCCATCAAAAATCTGAATTTCTCTTTTAGGCAGAAAAGAAAGAGACTGTTGCTGAACCAACATGGATGTTATTTCATTTTGTCTTTCTAAGACATTAATTAAAGGATTCTGAGCACCGCTGCTTGGTGCCAGTGCTGCTGGGTGATTGCTTTGGTGCTGTAACTGTGGATGTGATTGTGTTGAACTTTGATGTATATTGGCCTCTCAGCTTCTTGTGGCTTGATGTTGCAGATGTCCATATTCTACTTCATGTTGTCTGTGCGAAAACTGTGCGTCAGACTGACCACCTGTAGGCCTGTTTGTGTCAGGCACAAATGTTTTTGCTCCAGCACTGAGTGTGGCTTCCTTTCGTCCCCTTTCCAAATAAGAATGCATGCCATTGGGACTCACAGATGTGTTACTTGCAGCACGAGACCTTCCAGAGCGTCTTAGCACATTCATTTTAGCCCTTGATGCGGCTATTTCCACTTCCATTTCCAGTTGCTCCCTCTGTTTCCTGAGCTCTTCCTTCTTTTTCCTGAGCTCTTCCTTCTTTTTCCTGATCTCTTCCTCTTGTTCATCCAATGCATGCTTGTCTTTGAATAACATTTGTCGGGCCATGAGAGCGGCCATGTCAGCCTCAGCTTTGATGCATGATGATGTAGTTGAAACACTGGACCTGGTTCCAGCAGAGCTCCGCTTGCAAGACCCAATGCTTCCTATGTTTGAAACACTGTCGCTTGGTTTTATTTCATCTTGTGCTTCAGAAGTTTCAACATTTTTCCCAGAGTGTTTTGAAACATGAGTCATACTTTGCTGGTGTTCATCAGATATCTCAATTGAGGGAACATGTGCAATGGTGCTGCTCGGTTGTCTCCCAGTTTCAGAAAGCCATTGCCTGACATCGTCGATAATTCCATTATTGTATTTCAGTGTCTTGGCAAACCATACATTTAGTTTTTCCTGTTCGTCTGCAGGAAGAAGAGGAATTACAGACTTGTGTAACAGGATGGTTTCTTTAACTAGTTGAATTAAATCATCATTTATGGAAACAGAGAATAAGAGAAAGCTGTGTAAGCTGTATTTGGATATAGTATGTCGGCCTGTGTCTTTAACAAAATCATTTGAGTCTCTAATTTTTGTGTCTCAGCTTCGACGGCCCTGTGCCCGATCTGCGAGCCATCAAGCAGCTGGCCTTCCAGAGTGGAGACGTCCCGGTGGTGTTTGCTGTGGTAGACTACGGAGACATCTCCTTCTACACCTTCAAAGACTTCCAGCTGCCCACTGACGTGTTCCCCTGAGATATCACTGCTCTTTAACATCACTGTAAAATAGAGCAACACACACAAATTCATCTGCATTAGCTGGACATGCAAGGAAAATGAATTCAATTGTTGATTTTTCCAGACGAAAATATAAAGCTTGAAAGAGTTATTTTTGTGTCTGGCTAGTCATTTCAGATTCTCTGTCCTATTCTGAAAATACCTCCATGTGGTGCCAAAGTTGAATTTTTGTTACACATTCTTTCGGTTTTTCACTTTTGTTAAAGAGAACTTCGGGGATGACGTTTTTTTTTTTTTAGACCGACCCGGAAATTAGCATTGCCAGGGCTCCCTCGACAAATGTGGTGGAAATTATTATATTAACTAGTCAAAGAGATGTCTTTCTGGTACTTTAATCTTTTGCAAAAGAGGCAAACAACATGAAGAGCAATGTCTCCACAGCTGAGTGCAACTACTCAAACTGAAGAGAGAGCTTTTATACAGTTACAATGAATACATGCTTAGTCATGAGATAACTGAGCCATGACTCTATCAGAGTACAATAGACCAATGACCAGATCACTAATCACCCCCTGTGTGGTCACACCTTCCTGAGTGCTGAGATCTACTGTCTCTTGACATGTAAGGCTGACAGAATTGTATTATTTACATGTTAAATAACATCATAGCATTCAATTGTCTGATAATCATAATTTCCATTACATAGCAATGGGATTTTCCCTTTGGTTTTCGGAATATTGCAGAAAATAAACTTTGTGGCCAGCACAGGTTTATGATACTTACACTTTTTGTTCAGCAGGAACATCTCTACATATTAACACCACTTTGTGGCAAATCAGCATAAATGCAATGCTAACGTTAGGCTATAAACAAACTACACCACATTCACATGACTTCACGTCACCACCGCTAAGCTAAAGGAGGACTCGTGATGGCGTTTAGTAATTTGTTTAGTCACTTGTTGGCCCTGTACTTGCCAGTAATAGGCATGGCTTTTCTTGAGCTTAGGGGAGCCACATTCCATCTGCACATATTTGCAGTCGACATAAATTGGGACATTTGAATTGAACAAGGCCAAATTGGGGATATTCTGTTGGGTCAAAAACAACTCCATCAGGGGAGGCACCAAGCCAGGGCGTAGAGGGGTGAATGACAAGGCCACAAGGGGAGTAGTTCACGTTTGCCAGTCTACTGTATTCAGCTGCTACTGTGGGCTCCATCTCGGCACCTCTCCTCATTTCTGCAGTCTGCCTTGTACCTTTGAGTATTCGCTCTGCAAGAGAGTTAGCAGAGCTCTCACCTCTGACGTGACAAATCTCTCTAAACCTAGAGGCAGTAACCCTGGGTTTGCGGAGCAGATGCCACTCTGAGCTAGAGCTTTGCTCACGGGTAGCCTCCTCAATTTTGTGAGACATTTCCAAATCAACAGATGAGCTGTTCATATGTAGTTGCTCCTCTTCTGAGCACACCAGCGGTAAATCACATGGCAAGATCACATACCCCTCTATGGGCAAGTGGGGTGTTGGTGGTGTGTCAGTGTGAAGTGTGGTGTATCGAGACGTCAAAGCAGGCATCTGATAGGACAGAACACTGCCCTCCTGCACAATCCCGAAGGCACTTTCCACAAGGGGCTTGTCAGGTCTCATGTTCATTGTGGTCACAAGCGGCCTGTCTTCAATGCTGAATGCTGAGTATGCCTCCGTAACTCTGAACAGGCAGGGATCTGGTAATGGCCCCACCATGCCTCTGTAGAATCCACTCCTACAAAGAATGGCAAAGACAATATAGCACATTAATGTGACAATAAAGGTTAGGAATACAGCACCAGAATTATGAATTTTAAAAACACAGGAAACACAATTTTCCAGCTAAAATTACCTTACTCCAGTCTGCACCATCCTATTTGGTACAGGCTTGGTGAAGACCATGGAGTTGATGGGCCCTGGCTTCACACCCTTAAGGAAAAGACAATTACTGTTCGTTGAGTCACTTTAAAACAAAAACTCTGTGAAAGATTACAAGTATTTGAACCTCATTGAAATTACCATTGTTCGCGGCTTGTGCCATTACTGTTCCGATTCAGTACAGCTATGCACAGGTGGCACAACTGGCATGTTCAGTTCAGTGTAGTGTGCTGTTTGGAACAGCAATGCTACTGTGTGATTGCACAAAAACAGTTCCTGCAACACAGGAGCACTGGTTGTGCGTGAGCACCACTGGTGATGAATCACGAAGCGTTATCTAAAAAAGAGAGAAGAAATACTAGTGATTAGTAACTTCACTTGTTACTATGAGCCAGGAGGTTATTATGAGTAGAATTATTGGTTATTTTTACTGACCCATTATCCTAGAAGAAGCATGTATTCCTGAATGCTTAGTGTTACCCTCTTACCCTACAATACCACAATGAACTTTCTTTGGAAACTAAGATGCCTTGAAAATTGTATTAAAGCAGTTTTTACTATATATTTGAACCCCCAAACTTACACATCCATAATCAATGTAATAATATCTGACCAATCAGCTGTGATAAAGCAGGGAGAAGTAGGACACTGTTGAGATTCCCTTAAGGTAAACTAATGTTTAACTGAACTGAAACTCAATAAACAGGGGGGAACAGTGTCAATGCTGCCTGCCTACACTCAAACTGTGTGCTGTCTCGCTCTTCCGCATTGACCTGTAGCACAAGGCTCTCACGCTGACCTGCCCTGTCAGCCTGTCTTTATTGGACACTGAATGAAGAAAAACAGAGCAACAGCGTTAGATCTATACTCACGTCAACACATCTATGGCAACATTGCTTTACAAAAGCTGATACCATTATGCAGTGTGGCTAACAAGATAACCTTGGCTAGGCTATAAGGCTATTAAACGATAGTATTTGTTAGCAAAATGGCTAATGTTTTAAAGAATTAACACCAGAAACAGTACATAGCGTTACCCAGAGCCCTATAGTAGTCTACTATAGTAGTAGTATAATAATAATAGTAGTTATACTATAGGGCTCTGGCGTTACCTAGCTTTTGACAGCTAATGTTAGCGTAACCCGGAGCATAAGCTAGCTGGTTAGTACCGGTTACCTTCTTACCTTCATAGTTGTGTATATATGACGCAGCATATAATTTGAAGCCTTTATCGAGTTTGCTGGCTGGGGCTTTAGTCGTCCGGCAAATCCGATGAACATCTGACATTTTTAATTTCGGAAGCTCTTGTAGGCAGCGGGTGTAGAAGGTCGTCATTTTCAAACAGGAAATTAATCGGCCGCTATGAGTAGAATGCGGAAGTGACTGTGCATGTAGCCTATTGGGGAAAAGTAGGCTGCATTCGTGGGCCGCATTCGGAGGAGTCTCGTCTTTTTTTAAAATTGGGACAGCCTTCTTTCGTCGGAAGTGACGTGTGCGGTCTACGAATGCACCCTTCTATGGATGCAACCCCTGAATTGAGACACAGCCTGAAATACACAATTAAACATGTTCTATGACCTTTTTTTTGTATTAATAAAATTAAACTGAAGACAGTTTAATGACCTAGATGTTGGGGAATATTTTCCAAGGCCCATAACTTTGACCCAGTTTATCAGTTCAAACTGTCCTGACTGAGCGCATGCACCTCGTAACCTTGGCTGCTGTGCTCTCAGTGTTCTGTCTCCCTGTTCCTGCCTGTTGGCGTCAGCTGATAGAGGTGTTATGATTTTATCTTATGCAGCATGTTGATGATGCTCACAGAACTAGCTAAATACATGGGTCTGGGGTAGAGTTCTTCAGAATTGACGTGGCAACTCTACCGTGCAGTCAGATCGTGGCTGCTGTAACTTGTGATGTGAATTCTCCGGCCGAAGCTCCAAATAAACCATCAGTGTTTGACATCAAAGCTCCTGCTCTTCCCGTGTCTCTTTCCTGAGTCGGTGACTCCCACTGCATTGCTGCTACACAGAAGTTTCCCTTACAACTATCAAACTATAGATTCTACACATCGACTTGACGTTGATTCTGAGAGTACAATATAATACACTCCTCGCCAGAAATCGAATCAAAAAGCATTTTAATTGCCAAACTATTCCACAATTTAGGATTTTCCAGAGAGGGTTATTTGTGAATAAACGTCCCTCCGGAGCATTTGCAATGAACGGGCCGGGAGCATGTTGTTTCTTACACGTACTCTAGTGGTCGTGTAAGAAACAACATACACTTTAAAACGTGTCTCTGGGTCGTAATAAGGGCATGAACAATCGGCCTATATGGTCGTTTTTTGTAGGAGGACAGGCTGGTAATAATACGATCCACAAGCAGAGAATTAAGCTCCATAAACGCATTTTTTGTCGACAAATACTAAATTGATTCACAAATGCCTGATCGAAAGTTGTCAATGTTAGAGAGATATTCACAAATTCCTTTTGTATATTTGTAAACTAATTATAGTATTCACAGATCATTTTTTTATTTGTGAAAACATTTTGCATACTGTATTTGCAGATCCGTTTTATATTTGCAAATTATTTTTTGAGGAGGAGTTTGCCAATCTTTTGAATGCATTTGTGGGTGGTTTTTTACATTTACAAATCACACATTTACACACAAATAATTGTTATGTTCACACAAATATTATTTAGACAAATCTAACCCCATGGATGTTCTTCATATCACAAAGTCCCAAGAAAAACATAAATACACTGATAAAACTGAACATTTTAGAGTGGCCTTTTATTGTGGCCAGCCTAAGGCACACCTGTGCAATAATCATGCTGTCTAATCAGCATCTTGATATGCCACACCTGTGAGGTGGGATGGATTATCTCGGCAAAGGAGAAGTGCTCACTATCACAGATTTTTTCAGATTTGTGAACAATATTTGAGAGAAATGGTTATTTTGTGTATATAGAAAATGTTTTAGATCTTTGAGTTCATCTCATGAAAAATGGAAGCAAAAACAAAAGTGTTGCATTTATATGTTTGTTCAGTGTAGATCTGTTGAGAGCAAACAGCTGAATTTGAATGAAAAATAATAATACTAATTGGTTTTCTATTTTAAACACAGGTGAGTCTAGTTATTTAATACATACAAAATTCTAACTCAGATACTTATTTTCACTATGTGCAGGTACATTTTGAATGTTCTAAATAATAACCTGGAATTATTTCTTGTCACCTGCCTGTATTTGTTCTTGACCACAGGTGTTTGAGTACAGTGTGCACTCTACAACCCTCAATGTCACTGAGATCTCCTCATGTTTACTTATTGCATCAGCTACAGCTCAACAATAAAAGCGCCATGGATGTATGTTATGTAATTAGTTCTATTGAAGTCTCTTACTGTTGCTTTGTTCTGCTCATAATGCAACACGGTTCTGCAGCTTAAAAGCACACCCTCAGGACGAGATAAGGGCAATCAAACATGTCAGCTCTGAGGACTCTGGCTTTTCTAGCTTTAGTTGGTGAGTTTTTTAATTACTTGTGGGTTTTATAATTCAACTTTTGAATAGTATGTTGGAATAAAAATACTTTATTTCTCTAGAAAAGTTGTTTTTTTGTCTCTTACCCTGCAGCTGTTTCCAGCAGTCAGACTTCAGACTGCTCATACGTTGGTCTTCTGACACATTTGAACCTGGCGACAACTAATGATCTTCTAGCAACCATGCGACCCGTGAAAGTCTGGACTACACCCTCCCTCGTTCAGCTGGACATGTTTTTGTATGGCATTTTAGAAGTGGTAAGTGTCTTCATAGGGAAAACAATTCAGATTCAGTGTGCATTGCGTTCATGAAGGTATCTGTTTTTAAATGTAATTTCTATCAAACAAATATATTTGCTCTTACCTATTTTGTTATGTAATTTTAGTTGTCTTTTCTAACATTTGATATATGCTTTACTGTAACAGAGCCCCCGTTGAATATATATTTTTTAGCATTAGTATTTTATTATTTTAATCAGTGAGCACTATTTTTGTTGGACTGTGACGTATTATATTTCTCAACAATGTTAAAATAAATATCTTTACATTTTTCGATGTGTATTTTAGAAGATTAATGTAATGTATTTATTCTTGTCGTAGTGAAGTCTAGAAATATATTTCTTATATCTTATGTAGAGATTTGGGAGCGCTGTATTTTAACAGTAAAAGTAGCCATTCTGCAACTACTTTATTATTTATAAAAAATGTAAAATCCAATGAAAATCTCAGAGACAGAAATCTCCAAACCTAGAAAAAACACAGAACTGTCTTTGTGGATGGATATACAGTAAGTAAGAACATCGATATTTTCAAGTTATTTTTGCTGTAAATGCTTATGATTGCAATACTACATTTATTGTCTGCAGGATGAGAAGTCTCAGACGGTCACGAGCCACATTTGGATCAGAATGGTGAGTGTCATCAATGATAATGTTTATTTTAGGTGCTCAAGAATTAAATTGCATTTTCAAACATCAGTAATGTCTATTTCAATCTCACTCATCAATCTGTGTCCAAACATTTTTTAAACGTTCATTTGTATTTTCCCAGTGGTGGACAAATGAATTCCTAACTTGGAATTCTACAGACTTTTGCGGGATAAATATGCTGACTGTTCCAAGATCCAGGCTGTGGATCCCAGATATTCAAATCAAAGAGGAGTGAGTTCTCATTTATCACAGAGTTGTGGGTTGAGAATCTTATTCAAAGGGAAGTTTCATAAAGCAGGCTCCTAAAAAGTCAAATTCCAAAATATAGCTTTATTTAAAGAGGCCCTGTTCTTCTTTTTGGGGTTAACCCTTTCCTGTTGAGTGTTATATCTTTTTGCATGTAAAGGGTCTGCAAACGCTAAAATCTCTGTGTCCCCTCCAGAAGGAGTTTCTCTCCCACACACTCCTCCCCCCCCCAGCCTGAAATGCCTCCATTGGACTCCTCTGCATAGTGACATCACCATGTAACACTTGTGCTTCTATTGGCTAGTGCTCCAACACATTGTACATGATAGGCTAAGGGCTGGGATATTTCTAACGCAACTCTAAGCGGTTCAGATCAGACTGGGCTCTGGTTTCAGACAGAGGGGGAAAAGAGCACAGGCAGTATGAGAAAAATACCTTTTTGAACATTAAAGCATGTAAACATGTCACAGTACAGGAACAAAAATCCAAAATAAACTTGAAATTGAGCGTAATAGGGCCCCTTAATGTTATCAAAGTAACAAGGTTAGCAATATATGGTTAAAGTGGAACAGCATTGGGGAAACAGATTTTATCGTGTAACTGCTTTATCAGTGTCTTTACCGGTTTGAATCACAGAGTCTGTTTGTTTCGGAGAGAAGGAGACCTCCTCGAGTTATTCAGCTCGTGGTAGAATCCTGAAGGCAGTTGTTGTATGAAAAATAACTCTCAATTTTTAATTGAAAGAACCAGTAGGGGAAATTCCATATAATGTGTCTAAAGTCAGTAAAACAAAAGTGATGCAAAGTAGTTAATGCTAGTTATATATACAGTACTGTGATTTGTTTAGATGTCTGTAATTATAAACATCTGTGCTTTGACCAGTTTTTGATGAAGATCCAGGCAAACACATTAAATCAGAATGTCGTTATTTACTTTTTCAGTACCTCTGATGCTGGGAGCATTCACAAAAGTGCAGTCGTGAAATTGTATCCCAACGGTTTGATGTTGGCAACTACACGAGAGCGGCTGACTTCCACCTGTCGGATGGATCTCTTGCTGTTCCCCTTTGATACGCAAGAGTGTACCATCACATTTTCATCCATGACCTCAGAAGGTAATTTACACCAAGCTAGGGGAGACACCTCAGAGGATTAGGGTTTAATTTAGTTAGATACCAGCATGAATCTTGCATAGTTTGTATTGCTTATTTGCATCGATTCTTTAACAGAAATCTTAACATGGATGAGTCAACAATTAAAATGATTGTTTCATTTTGTTGACAAATTAGAGTAGAAGGCTGTTACAGAGGGGATTCTTCTCTTCAATCCAAAAATACTGTCAACAGCTATAACAAATATCACGATTTTCCACTCTTTTTTTAGGAAAGAAAAATCTATTTATAAGGCTATAATTATAATATAATTTCATTACAAGTGTTCTGAAATGTTACACTGTAAAATGTTTGGCTGTAAAATTACAGTAAATTACTGGCTACTAGTTGCATGGATTTCACAGTAATTTACTGTAGATATTTTACAGTAAATTAGAATAAAAGTACAACTAAATACTGTGACTTTACAGTTGCCATGCCCATGGAATTACTGTGATATAGCAGTACAGAGCTGTGGTATTATGGTACCTTGCTGTACATAAATTACAGTAATTACCTGTATTTTCACACTATTACTGTAGAAGTAATGCAACAGAGTAGCCAGTAATTTACTGTACTGTAAATATACAAATGTAAATAATACGATAATATATTGTACATTTTACTAGTTAACTGGGATTTTACCATAACTACACAATTCAATCAGCTCAATCAACAAAGAAAAACAAAGAAAATGCCCATTTTAACTTTGTATTACTCCATTGAAGTGCAAAGTACATTTCACAGTGTCTTTGACATGTTGTTACGGCCCCAACCTCTACTCCGCGGTAGTGGCTCGTGCTGAGACCCGCAACATGAAAGAATACACGCAATAATCGGTAGGCCTACTTGGTAACAAGCATTTATTGATAATCAGCCGTCTGCTCACACAAGCGAAACGGGAAACAAAAAGAGGTCTGGAGGACTGGCCAAAAGGAACAAACAGAAGGAGGGAACCCGACCCAGCCACACCACGGACCGTAGGACCCAGAGCTCCCCCCCCCCCCCCCCCCCAAACCAGAAATCAAATATAAACCATGGGAAACAAAATAAAGCCGCGAAAACTGGTCTACCAGAGGCCTGTACTACGAAGCAGGATTTTCGCTTAGCCGGCTAACTTCAGGGAAAACTCGGGGTTTCCGGTCCTACGACGCTGGTTCTCTTTTTAGCAGGCTAGATCTCCATGGTAACTTATGCTGAGCGGCTAACCTGCCCCGGTGCAGGTTAGGTTGCAGGCTAAGAGCTCAACTCAGTGACAGCACTGCTTGCTGACCAATCAGAGCTCAGTGTGCGGAGTTTAAAGGGATCAAGTCATATTACAGGAGAAAGGAAACTGCCGTTGCAGGAAAGACGGCCGGCAAAAATCACCGACTGTGTGAACGTGAACATTAATAGATTATCACCTTCCATCTTCAGAGCAATCTGACTATTATAACATTAGCGTTAAGAAAGCTTAATTAAATATCTACCTCAACATAAATAACCGGATCAAAGTAACAGTACAGTCCACGGCATATCACATCATAATGTAGGCCTGTCATATATTTCCTTATCGGAGTCAGCTTCTTGAGCCGTATCTGGCTGTGCAACACTCACTGTTAAGTGTAAGTATTAATATGTCTGCATGTAACTGCACTATAACTGTTCCACAGTAAGAGGGCGCTATAGGCGTAAGGAGGCGCAGCTATTGTAGCTGACGTGAGGTATCAGATATAAGGGATTGTTCCCTCCCCTTCTATCTCTCTCTCTCTAGCTCTCATGGAGAGCAGGTCAAGTGGTGCAATGCACATATGAAAATAAACCACGCCAGTTAAGGCTAAAGAAGACCTCGTCGTCATGACCAGTTTATTGCTATACATATGACTCTGTCAACAGGTTATGGGCCCAGATCACCCAGATTCAGTAAGTATGACGCGCTGCGCTGTCAGTACGCTTGTCCATGTTTGTGATTGGTCGAATGCTCCAAATACCACCCCTTTCATGTGAACGCGCACCTAACTAGATAGGGCACGGCTGGCTTGAGCGATCCACTTGATAACCCGCGTCGTAGTACACTTTAGCGAGAGCGCGTATGTTTTGGATTAGGCCAACCGGCTAACTCAAACATATCCAGGTTAGGTTGAACCAGCTTCGTAGTACAGGCCTCAGGTCCTCTGCAGGCTAAACATAAACACATCTGCAAAAATATGGCCTACAGCTCAAAATGGCAAAGAGGTATTCTAAGGAGAGTGTCTCCCGGCGTCAGGATAGGCGAGACATCGTTCTCCTCCAGCTTCTCTTTATATATACACGGCTGAGTGGAATTTGGAACACCTGGGCAGAGGCGGAGCCAGGGGAAGACCAGGTGCACCTACGCAGCAGGGAGACAGAACATAAAACAAGGAGGGGAACACTTAACACATGTCTACACAGACATCCACTCGAAGTCAACCATTTTTCTGAAGAATGTGCTGACATGGGGGTTTAAATTGTCATGCCTCTTTTTGGCTTTCGAGCCCATCTCAGGATTAATGCCCAGGAAGCACCTGAAAACAATAAGCCAAGACAACAATTTCAATTTTACATAGATGTATATGTTGACCGCATGACCGCACATGCAGCGGTGCCCCTTTCAATTTAAGTAAAACCTGCACTAAAGAAAGACATTAGTATTTAAAGCTAAGCAAGAGCGATAAAAGCAAGAAAATCACTTAATTTGTTGTGTTATCACAGAGGATGGTCTGAATACAGTATTTTACTATGAAATAATACAGTAACATGTTGTGAAATCCTGGTAATCATTTATCCTGTATATTCACAGTAATTAACTGTGCCTGTATTGATTTCACTGTGAAATTCTAAATTACAGTATTATATTGTGAACATTACAGGTAAAGACTGTAAAGTGGTAAAACAGTAATTTATTGTAAAATATTACAGCTAAATATTGTGAAATCATGGTAATATTTTACATTGTATGGTTAAATATGCAAATTAGGCACGATATAATGCGACAAATAGACAAAGTTAGTCAATAACATTTAAATGTGTTAATTAGACGTTGGCTTTCCACAAGTCTGAAAGAAGTCATGTTATAGTGGCAAAAAAAATATTCCAGACCATAATTGATCAATGCATGAACTTTTCTTTTTTGAATATTGATGATATCATTATTTAAAACCTCTTTTCTCCACACAGAACACGCTGTACAACTCAAACTAGAGCAACTCAACAGTGGCACGGTCCTCACTAAGGTCCCTGATCATTTAATGGTTACAAAGGGCGAATGGGAACTCCAAAACATGACAATTATTGTATTAAATGTAACCAAAGAAAGTAAAAGCAAACTCATATACAAGGTAAGAAAATATTCGTAATTACATTTTACAACAGTATTTTCTTTCTTTCAACTCTTTTTATTTGAAGCAAGACGTTTTGTTTTTTATTCAGGTATTAAGAAGACATTGTATGCTGGGCAACAGGTGCAGCCCAAAACACTGCCATTAAGATAAACGTGCTGAATTTAAAAAAAACGATACAAATAATAAAACACAAATGTGCCAAAACACATGCAAATGACGAAACACCTCCACCAGCTTGATGAAACATGCGCAGCTTTTACTAAAAGCGCTTCATAAATGAAACACTGCAAATACAAAACGCTGCAAGATGCTCCAAACACAACGGAAACAGGGACTCTAAAAAGTGATGCACACAGCTGAGACGGAGCGCTGGTTGTCGTTTTTTAAAAAGTTGGCACACTAAGTTAGCTACATTAGCAAGCTAGTTTACAGCATATCTGCCATAATATAGGAAGGAATTATGCGATTACCTTGTTATAATAAGTAAATACAATTTACATTTTAGGTAAGTGTACAGTGACAGTGTGTGTTTTGGCAAAACAAAATAATTTGAATCGTTTATGAAACTGCAGCGCGTTGCTCATAATGGATTTTTTTTATATTTCAGGGTAATAAAGGTCCCGTTTGGGATTATGACCTTGGTGCTAATTGAGGTTGTTTACAAAAAATTAAGGACTTCACCATTGATCAAATAAAGACCTTTGGTGCTGTAGCATTTACGGACGTACCAACCCAGTCTCACAAAAAAACGTGTAATAACTACGTTGGTCCACAACTTGGGACATAGTATTTCTACAAAAACGCCTCTGAAATTGTAAGATCCCTATGTTTTTTTCACCATTTATTCCAATGGCTGGCGTCTATGTCACGTGATCTTCAAATTTCTCCCTGCAGAAAAAAACAAACATGGCAGAACTTCGTTTTATTCTCGGTAGAAAATGCCTATTTTAAGGTTAGTTTGGCCATTAAAGGAATGCTCCACTCATTAGATAATTAATCAAAACTTCAGTATTTAGTGAAACATTATGTTTAAACCATACCCTGAAGAAATCAGCGATATTCCCCGGTAAATAATGATTTTATAGCTCTTTTTTATCAAAACCTGTATATTCCGTCAGGCCGCTGCCATTTTTGCCATTTTCAGTAGTCACGTGATGGTCGTGACGTCATCCATGCGTTCACTTTGTAAACACACGAAAACATGGCGGAGTATTTGAGTTCGTTATAAGATCCTCTCAGTCTGACAGGAGAGGACTCTCCTCCACCTTGGTGTAGAAACAGCCCTTTATATCCGTTAGCATAGCTAGCTAACCAGATGCTAACAATAACATTCCACGTTACCGCTCGCGCACTCACAAAATGCGCTCGTGCCACACACACAGAGAGCCGAGCTTGAATGAAACACAGAGACCCAGAAGTAGGCTACTTGTACTGTACTGTATATCATATTATTTTCGATGGCTTTACTGTATAATCAGTGTAACAGATGAACAGATCGCCACCGGGCTTTCATCTAAACACACAGCCACGTAATGATAACAAAACAAAAGTCGGGGGTCATTGGTCAAGCAACACACCAAACAGAGAGCAGCAGTGAGCACACCTGAGGCTGTGTTTCATATTTGTATTATTTATTTCTGACGTATTTCACACAAAAAACCTTTAGTGGAAACGTTTTCACTTATATGATTTTTTTTTTTAAAACGGCAAAGTGGCAAGGCTTACCCACCCTGCGTTGGGGGGGCACAGTGACTCATTTGGGGGGGCATGGCCCGCGAATGACCCCCCATGACGCCGACCCTGAGTACTGTGGACAATCCCCACAGGAGCAATTTGGGGTGAAGTGTCTTGCCCAGGGACACAACGACATGCTGACTGCAGTGGGACTCGAACTTGCTACCCCCTGATTCGAAGTCCAGCACTCTATCCACTTAGCCACAGCCCCCCCCCACAGACCAGGAAGAGGCACCTGAGGGAGAGGAGGGAGAGGCCCCTGAGATAGAAGCCCCTGAGGGAGAGGAGCCTGAGGTGACATTCCACAATTTTGCATTGCCAACTATGTGCGTGAATACCAGTGAATATGCGTGAGCACACACACACACACACACACACACACACACACACACACACACACACACACACACACACACACACACACACACACACACACACACACACACACACACACACACACACACACACACACACACACACACACACACACACACACACACACACACCACACACACACACACACACACACACACACACACACACACACACACACACACACACACACACACACACACACACACACACACACACACGTGACATAGACGCCAGCTATTGGAATGAATGGTGAAAAAAACCGTAGGGATCTTACATTTTCAGGGGCGTTTTTGTAGAAATACTACGTCCCAAGTTGTGGACCAACGTAGTTATTACACTTTTTTTTTTGTGAGACTGGGTTGGACGTACTGTATATTTCCATGCTGCGAATATGCTTACTATTTTTTTAATGTTTGTAAATATTTTTACACACTTTATTTTATTATTACTAATCAAAACTCTATATCTTCCATCTTATTTTATTACTAATTTTATTCTGGCATATAATTAGTATAATTCTGATTATTTCTGCTTCTGAAAGAACGACTTTGAAGACAGTCGTACAGGGGGATTCAAAGACGCGGGGAATTAACCGTTTAAGGATGCTTCTTTGACATTGAGAAACAATTTTGTCTCTAATTAATATCAAATGTAATGTTTTTTTTCAGGTCTCAATCTCCAGGAAGCCAATGCTCTATGTGATCAATTTAATCGTCCCACTGCTCTTTTTTCTGGTCCTGGATTTGGTCTCATTCTCCATCAGTGAGGCCAGAGGTGAAAAGCTGAGCTTCAAAGTGACGATACTCCTGTCCATCTCCGTCATGCTGTTGATTCTTCAGGACATTTTGCCCTCCACTGAAGCAAACGTGCCAATGATCTGTGAGCTGCTACACAGAACTCAAACACTCAAACACTCAACTCACTTTAGATATTGGAATTTATTAAATGTTGTGAAGTTGCCCAGTAAAAAATCATCCTGTAGAATACGAATCCTATAATATTAGTCTTCATCATTCTGAAACCATGATACATGTAATGTTGAGGATGGCTATTTTCACTCCAGCAAAGAGACAACAATTGTCTGGTGGTTAAACAATATTTGGACTAAACACAATTTCCTAACTTGAAAGTGATTTTGCTTTGCTATCCTGAAAAAGAGTTTAGAGTATTAAGTTTTAATCACAAATCTGAATAAAAATGGACCCTCAAGAATATATAGGCTTGGTTGGGTGTGTTCACTCGTAAAGGTCAGACATTTTAAACAAAAATCTACTTATGGGAATGTTGTTGAATTCTTAGTTATACAGTGGAACCTAGCCAAATGAACTGGGTGGCTTCCAACGCAGGGACGATAGTTTGTGGAGGAAGTAGCTTAGCTAGTTTGCTTGCTAGCTAGCCAATATCACTAGAAAACAACGGAGCTGCTGACCGTTTCCCTACTGGCGTAGAAATCTTCTATCGACGGGGAGCAGAGGTGGGAGAAGTAATCAGATCTTGTACTTGAGTAAAAGTAGAAGTACCACAGTGTATGAATACTCTGTTACAATTAAAATACCTGCATTCAAACATGTACAAGTAAAAGTACAAAAGTATTAGCATTAAAATAGACTTAAAGAACCAAAAGTAAAAGTAGTCATTGTGCAGATTGGTCCATTTCAGAATAATATCTATTATATGTTTTATAATGATTGATCATGAAAGTGTTCTCAAAGCTGGTAAAGGTGCAGCTAGTTTGAATGACTTTGTATACTGCAGGGTAGCTTGTGAATTTACTCCAGGTGTAACTCAAGTCCTTTTTAAGTGTTGTTTATATTTCACATTATTAATCAAAATCTGTGAAGTAACTAAAGGTATTAAATACATGTAGTGGAGTAAAAGTACACGATTTACCTCTGAATTGTAGTGGAGTAGAAGTATAAAGTAGCATACAATGGAAACACTCAGGTAAAGTACAAGTATCTCAAAGTTTTACTTAAGTACAGTACTTGAGTATCCACCCCCTGTGCTCTGCCTCTGCTTATTCCTGGCATGAACAACATTAGACTGACCAGAAATGTTTCTGCCCCTTTTTTATAGCCAAATACTGCCTTTTCATCTTCACCTTTGTGGGGTTGAGCGTCCTGGAGACCATGCTGGTGGGCTACCTATACGACCTGGATGGTTGCTGCTGTAAGACGGCTCAAAGCCCTGCTGACGCACAAGAGGATATTCAGTTGGAAGTTGACAATCAGAGAGGTAAGGTCTCTGCCAACTAATAGTTGAAGATGAACAATACAAAAAAAACACTGAATGCAATACATTCAGATAATTACTCACATCAACTAAAAGAAAACTTTATTTTTGCTTAATTTAGGAAATACACCAGAATAAGAATCATTTTGTTATTAATAATAATAATTTAATTAACTTTTCCGTTTGTTACTCTTGCACTTTTAATTTTTTCCGCTGCAAAAGTGCAAGATTAGGGGTTGCTGTACAGAGGTAAAGCCCCCTCAGGCAAATGTGTGTTTATTAAGATGATCACCTTGACTACCAATTTCAACATTTGGTAAATGTTTAAATTTATATCTTTAGGTTAAGCAATTTTCTACTAAACCATTTCTCATTGGATACAATTATTGCATTTTTTTAAGTAACATGCATATTTCAGTTGAAGGTATTGAGGCTTGATGCACTGCACTATTCATTTCTATTTAGAATGTACTGTAAGTGGATAAAGTCAGGTTCAAAATCCTTTTTTATTGATATATTAAAGTCAAAGGTATTTATAGAGAATTTGCCAGAGTTTCTATCAACACCTCTTTCACGTATTCATCTAGAACCCAACATGGTTTCTTATGAGGCTCCTAAAGTTCTGACGTGTTGCACAACCCCAAATAAATCAGTTATTTTTTCCCTCTATATCATAACTCATTCTGTTGAATTATCATTTTGACACAGAGCCTGCTGGAGCTGAAGGGATCCCTGACAAAAGTTCCCTTCCTCTGGATGGGCCTGTTGATGGCGACCTGCTGAAACTGATCCTGCAGGAAGTGAAAGCAGCTCGACAGGAAGTTGAAGAACACAAAGACCAGAGAAAGACCGGACGCTACAGAAGAGCGGCTGTAATCATAGACCGTGTCTTCTTTTTCTTCTATTTTTTAGCCACTGGTCTTTTTGTCTCATTCATGAATACATTGTGGGTTTCAAATATATACAACAAATAGTAATAACTAGATGATGTGTGTATGATCTGCCAGCGTGTCCTCTTAAATCTGACTGTAATGTTATTTTTTAAACAACTAAACAGAATATAAAGAGATCCTAATGATCTTTAAATAGTTATTGGTTGAATTATGGATCATGCATGACCTGTGAACTTGTGGTACTTTTGTAAATGAATGCCAATGAGACACATTTTGCTGGCATGTGAACTTTTATAGTGTATTTAGTTACACTTTTCTATCACAGTATACGTAATATCCTAGTACCTAATTTTTCGAAGTATATTATATTATATTATTATATTAAGTAGAGTAAATTAGTAGCTTCCCCTACACTGATTATTAATTATATTATGATATTATATATATAATTATATTTTTGTGGATCAACATTTGTGTTGAAAACGTTTCTTCTCGGTATCTATACTGCATGTGCGACAAGAAAAAAGAAAGAGAGAAAGCAATCGATTTAACATACAACATATATCTTAAAACTATTAACAAAGCTGGTTTGTCTTATTTGTACTGATTAAAAAAAATAAGATTGTATAAACTCTTTAAAAAAAAAGTTTCCCCTATGACATGTTGTCAAAGTAGCAAGTGGCATAAAAAGAAAAGACACAAGTTAAATTACGTTTTAATTTAGTTTAACAAAATGTAGTAGGGCCTACTAGAACTAAATTATATTTAAAGCAGTTCTGAGACTGCCAAAACAAACAAAAAACGACTTTCACAACATATCAAAGGAAGCATACATGTGTCATATGACATGTCCTGTAAATAAAGGGGTGGGTCGTTTTGATAATGTTTGCAGCACGGAGGGGCAGGTTTGCTGAATTAACCAACGTGTCACAATTTTGACAACGGTAATAATAACACAATTTCACCTTCACAATAAAAGCTTTGTTATCAATTCATTTCAACCTATTTTATTGGAATGATTGCTCCAAGCACCATATAATGATGAAAATCAAAAGAAAAAAAGTATCTTAAAGTATAAATAGTTTATAGTATATATACTTATATATCGTTGTTTATCAAATGATTGTTGTTATTATTTGAATTATTATTATTATTATTACCATTATCAAACATATATATCAGTAAGACTGGATGGTAGGCCTTTCATTTATCTGGCTAATAAAGACCTGGCTGATACATTATTGGATTTGAAAAATAATTAACTGATTATTAGATTGACTAACAGTGATATTCATTGTGTGACACACACACACACACACACACACACACACACACACACACACACACACACACACACACACACACACACACACACACACACACACACACACACACACACACACACACACACACACACACACACACACACACACACACACACACACACACACAGCCTATATATATAGGCTATATATGTATACTAAGTAGGCCTACTAATAAATACATAATAAATAAATAAACGAACACAATGAACACTTGGTTCTCCAGTATTTTGTGAAATCTGTGATTGCGTGTGTGTGTCCCTCTATCACACAATGAATTTCACTGTTAGTTAATCTATCAGTCAATCTAACAATCAGTTAATTATTTTCAAATCCAATATCCAATGTATCAGCCAGGTCTTTCTTAGTCAGATAAATGAAAGGCCTACCATCCAGTCTTACTGATATGTTTAATAATGGTAATAATAATAATAATAATTCAAAAATAATAACAACAACCATTTGATAAACAACGTCTAAAACATACCTCAGTAAATATTAACATTATTAAAGGGATAGTGGAAATCCGCGAATTTTGGGTTTAACTTATGTATTTTTATTAAAAATAAGCATAATAAACAATTTTTTTTAATTTCATGCGCCTAGTTTCATTTTATTTTCAATTTTACTGCGCCCTCTCAATGAAACGAAATACTTCGGGAATCGTCGGGAATCTTCGGGTGATGACGAGAGCATAGGAAGACGGGCACAAACAATGGCGGACATTCAATAGCATTTGCATGTGAATAGCCGACCATATTATGGTGAATATATGTGTTTTGTATGGCTGTAGTGCGACAGCAAATGCAGAGAATGGCGTATCGTAATAATTCTACGTGACACAACGACATTGGATTAACCTTGAGATGCGTTTTTATTCCGTTGAACACAACTTTTGATCACAAATCGAAAAAGGTAAGACGTAATTATTGTAATATTTTTGGAACCGGATGTTGTTTACTTTCTCTTTTCTGGCTGATAGCTCCAGGAATTCGAGGTCTTACAGTGATGACATTACATGTGTGGAATCTGTGGAGTCTCAGCTTTAAATCGTATATCTTGTTTGTGCAGTTAAGATAGTAATAAGGGAATTTCTACCGTGTGTTGTGTGTAAAAAAGCGTTAGCATTAGTTAGCATTGTTTCGCTCAATGCTAATTCAAAGGCATGGTATTACTCTTGTGTTTTTTCTAGCTAACAATTGTTCTTATTGTCAGTTAGTCGAGTTTCTTACCTTTAAAAGGGTATGAAACATTAATAGTTTCATAAATGTTAAGAAGCCCTGAGACATGTGAGAGAAAAAAAACTGTGGGAGGGGTCCACTGGGGGGACCTTCGGGCTTAACTGGTTAACAATGATTAATATTTGTAAAGGCTACAGGTGATCTTAAGATGCGTGAGCTATGCTTAGGGACCTACCAGTCAAGATTATTTGTGCGTAGGGGTGCATCATCTGGCGCCTGGTCCTGGTCATCCTCGCCATTGCCCATGCCGTGAACCATCACCTCGGGCTCGGGCTCGAACAAATAAGGACGTAATGGTCCATCGTCTGGCTCAATATTGTCACCATCGTCGCTTACTGAACCGGATTCAGATTCAGTTCCTAAAACGACATTTTCGTAGGAAAGCCGAGAGGATGTTTCTGACTCGCTATCATCACTGGATACCTCGTACAATCCTTCTTCTTTGTCTGGTATATTTGCCCTTCCACGTTCATTCTGCATAGACGCCATGGTTTGTTATCGTATCGTCTTCCTAAGTTTTCGTCACTTCCGGTTTGGCTGAGTCGAACATTTCGTTTCTAAAAAACTTCGGGGAAGCTGCAATAAAGTGCTTCTAACATGCGTAAGGCAATTATTATATTTTTTGTAATCAGGTGTGATTGTTTTGATACGTAATTATGCTTGTATATAAGTTAAAACGAAACTATTTGAGGTTCCATTTCCACTATCCCTTTAAATCTTGTTTGACCATTATCAACATGTTTTAAAGGGTCTTTATTGACGTGTCCAAAATCTCAAATTTCAAAAGCACATTGTACGAGGTGATAATGTATTTTTCAAAATTCACACAACAAACAATTAAAACTTCTTTGAGAAGCTGAACACCAACTAAATGAAAATATCACGAGAAGTTTTTATTTTGAAAGCCAGTAGTCTACCGGAAGTGTCAGTCTGTGTCGGAGGTAGCTTTACGTCTGTTAATCAGGTCAGCTGGTTTAGTTTGGTGCTTCAGTTAGCTGAGTTGAAGAGCCTTGCTAGCGTATTTGGGTAGAGTTTTTCTTCAAACTATGGTTCATACTGATATCCTTTTGACCTTTTAACAACGCCACAGCTCATGTTATCTCAGTGGCTAAGCTCTGCGTTCATTCAGCTAGAGATCCACATGAGCTTGGAGCATCCTGCTAGCCTAGAAAGATTAGCAATATATTTTGTGCAGAAGGAAGGTGAGAAGTGTTTACTTTTGTTTTTATTAATGACACATTATCTGCTAGTCTTTTTCTTTTTCTTTTGATATTTTCATTTTACAACACTTACACATATTTTATACATGTGTATTTTCTGTGATAGCCAACGTTATTTTAACCTTTGCTGCTAGCTGGGATGCTAGCAGGGAAATAGCAGCTCAACAGTAACTTGAAGCATATTTGTACAACTTTAGCTTTTGCAAGTGGTCTTTATCTCGGAACATAGATACATTATACACTGTCCTAAATAAATGTGGGCATACATTTTCGCATTTTGCATTCACAATACCTGTCACAGAACTTCACATTAGAAGTTTCTCTGTAGAAATGTGGTAAAAGAAATACATTTTAAATAAAAACAGGATCTGCTTTGTGAATCATATGTATGCCGAATGGAAAAGTATTACTTAACGTTTAAGAAATGTGTTGAATCATGTTTAGTAAATGCGCCTTTGTTTTGCAAATGTTAATATTAACACTAAATGGCAAGATATGCGAGTGGAGTTCGTTTTACATGCGAGATACTGAACAACAACTTTTCTCCTCATTATTTTATTCTCAATAGACCTTGTACTTTCCTTAACTATGGTAATGCCCTTAAGTAAATATAAATGTTGATCTTGAAAGAGAGGAAGAATTATTTGGTTTCAGCTTCCTGGATGTTGTTTTTCCTTCAGGTGAACACCAGGGTCATCAACCATGCCAGGTGGAATTACAGAGAGTGGGGAACCCTACTCCCCATTTGTGAGTAGTATACATGTATAATGAGTTTAATTCCTGTTTTACTTCTGTTTTTATTTAAGTTCAGAGATTGTTTCACTATTTGTATGTTGAGTTAGAGCACAGTACACACTGCAGTGGATGCATGATTGAATGCAAAGTCCACCTTACTGAGGCTCTTTAAAAGTCTTATTTTACTTTGAAATAAGATGTAAGAAGTTAAAGTGTTCTTCTTGGTTTACTTGCAGAGGCTTCAACTTTTACTCTGTGTTTTATTGAGCCACTTAAATTGACTGATCAATATGTTTCAAACACTAAAAACGGAGAAGGGCATTTTTCTGAAGAACCCTTCTTCGTGTCATTAAATGAGTAATGTCATTGTGAGTGGAGATGGTGCGTATGAAAGTGCAGTAAAGAGGAAGCTAAATTGCTTACACATCCTTCTTGTTATACACAGCGGGCTTCTTTATGGTCTGGTCTCCGTTTTTACGAAGTCCCTTACTTCTTACGTCAGCATAACTTACCACAAACATTAAGTTCTGCCGGTCAAATATTTTTTTCCAGGGAGCTTAAGCTTTAAATCATTAAAAGTTAAACAAATTATTTTATTTTATTTTATTTAACCTTTATTTAACCAGATAAAAAAGCATTGAGATAAAATCTCATTTTCAATGCTGACCTGGCCAAGAACTACCAGATAGGTGCTGCTTCCTTAAACTTATCTTGCCCACCTGTATTCCTTGGAAATAGTTGATTCTTTATCTAACAAGGCACTCAACTACTCCTCATACAACAGAGCTTTACATTTTGTATTTAGGCAAAAGGCCATTAAAGGGGCCCGGTTATACTCATGTTCAGGTTTATATTTGTATTTTTTGCCTCTACTGTGACACGTTTACAATGCGTTAATCTTCAAAAAGGTCTTTTATTTTTCTCATACTGTCAAGTGTGTGGGAGAAAGAGTCTCTCTCAAACTTTGGGATTTTAGCCTTTGCAGACCATTTACATGCACAAAAACATATAGAACACACAATAGGAAAGGGAAACCCTAAAAAGTATAATAGGGCCTCTTCAAATATGCAATAGGAAATGAAAGGTCTGCGAACATATTCCACTTGTCTTTACACCTCTTATCTGTCTTCTCCAGGTGGGGCTGGTTTATATGTTCAATCTGATTGTAGGGACCGGAGCTCTGACGATGCCCAAAGCCTTCGCCTCAGCCGGTTGGGTGGTTAGCATATCACTCATCTCCTTTTTAGGATTTATGAGGTGAGTTCTGTTCTGCACATCAACCTGCTTTTCATTTCCCACATGCACCACCTCTAGCCCGTCCTTTGGGCAACAACAGAGACATTTTAAACATGGAGCTGAAGGCTTTTACATTACATCTGATTCCATTAAGTTGATGCTTTTATCCAAAGCAACTTACAGACTCAGAACAACAAGACAAATGCAAATATATATATATATACGCAAATATGCAGATATTGTTCTATTTAAGTGCTGGTTATTTTTTTGGGGGGGGGGGGGTTGGGTTTAATGGCCATATCTTTCACTAATGTCTGCTTTTTTCTTAGTTTATTTTCAGAGTTAGTATGTAAACAACACACATGTTTGTTTTAAACATGCAGAAGTATTCATATTTTTGTTAGTACTACAACACCACTATACAATAATATACACAGTAACATACAGCAATAATAATAATACAGTAATATACACTTTCTTACATATTGCTTGCTGTTATCTGTGTTGTACTTTAGAGAAACGCAGTGACGCGTCGTAAAACCCGGAAGTAAACTTCTTCCGGTTCCTTCGTGAAAAACGCAATGCGAATTCTCCATAGGATTTTGGAAAATAGCTCGAAATAAGGTCTGTGGTTGACACACATTTAAGAGAGGGATCACGTTTTGTTCAGCCGGATAATCTCCACATGTCTACCCTACTTTTATAATTTTTAAATCATAAATCTAGTCGCCAAAAGCGAAATGCTAACGTTATGCTATAAACGAACTACAAGCCAGTACAGCAGCAGGGTCGCACGACTTTAACGTCACGCCAACTTAAGATCGTTTCAACTGACTTGCACTGAAACTGCACTTTGAACACTTTAAATATATTAACATTTTAAACTGTATACCCCGGTTATCTAGGCCCTTTTTGTTTTGTTTAATGTATACCACGTTTATCTAGGCCCTTTTTGTTTTATGTATACATGTCACACTGTGGGAAACGATATTTCTGGATGTATAACACATGTAGAATTTTTGACAATAAAGCTGACTTTGACTTTCGCGTGCTTGCATAGTTTAACAAAGCTTTTCATTTTAGCCACACTGAATTTAACTAGAAGTCATGGCTGTGTCAATTACCAGTCTGATATCGTTTTACAAAGATGACAAGAAGAGTGTAGATAGAGGAGAGAACCACTACAAGTCAGGAAACGTAAAACAGTGCAGCCTAGATGAAGGTGTGCTTACCGGTGTTGTCAGGGCTAGCATGAGGGACAAGGTTTATAGTGTCGGTGAGTAGTGATAGCAAGAGTACCGTTAACCTAGAGTTAATTTATTCACATTAATTCCCATCAACAAATCCATTTTATGTGTCACATGAAATCTTTATTAGGCAAGGCAAGTTTATTTATATAGCACTTTTCAACACAAGGCAATTCAAAGTGCTTTACAAAAAATGAAAGACATTAAGAAAATGGCATTTAAAATTAGTCATTAAAAAGAAAAGCTAATAAAATAAACATTAAAAGAAAAAAATACATGGATAAAAGTTACAGTGCAGTCTAAGATATGAATAGTTCAATTAAAAGCAGCGACAAAAAGAAAAGTCTTCAGCCTGGATTTAAAAGTAGTAAGAGTTGCAGCAGACCTGCAGGTTTCTGGGAGTTTGTTCCAGATATTTGGAGCATAATAACTGAATGCTGCTTTACCATGTTTAGTTCTGACTCTGGGGACAGAAAGCTGACCAGTCCCTGAAGACCTGAGAGATCTGGATGGTTCATAATTTAGCAGGAGGTCAGAAATGTATTTTGGGCCTAAACCATTCAGTGCTTTATAAACCAGCAGCAGTATTTTGAAATCTATTCTTTGACACACAGGAAGCCAGTGTAAAGACTTCAGAACTGGAGTGATGTGATCCACTTTCTTAGTGTTAGTGAGGACTCGAGCAGCGGCGTTCTGAATCAGCTGCAGCTTTCTAATAGATTTTTTAGTGAGACCTGTGAAGACACCATTGCAGTAGTCGAGTTTACTGAAGATAAAAGCATGGACACGTTTTTCCAAATCCTGCTGTGTCATTAGTCTTTTAATCCTAGATATGTTCTTTAGGTGATAGTAGCTGATTTAGTAACAGTTTTAATGTGACTGTTGAAACTCAGGTCAGAGTCCATGACTACACCTAGATTTCTGGCTTTATCTGTTGTTTTGAACATTGCAGACTGAAGCTCAGCGCTAACTTTTATACGTTCTGCCTTGGCTCCAAAAAACATTACCTCAGTTTTATCTTTGTTTAATTGGAGAAAGTTCTGACACATCCAGTCATTGATTTGTTCAATGCACTTACTCAGTGTTTGAATTGGAGCATAGTCTCCTGGTGAAATTGTTACGTAAATGTGTGTGTCATCTGCATAGCTATGGTAACTTATTTTGTTGTTCTTCATTATCTGAGCCAGTGGTAGCATGTAGACGTTAAAGAGAAGAGGCCCCAAGATTACAAATATTACACACCAGAAAACACAGAAATATCCATGAAATAAACATACAGTAGGCCAGTGACCACCAACTAGCGGCCCGTGGGCCACATCCGGCCCGCCAGACATTCTCATCCGGCCCGCACGACAGGGGTGACTGTGGCGTTTGTGGAGTGGTTAGTGCGTTTTCTTTTACAACGTCTCGTGAGTAAGGTGCAGTACCGGAGTCCAACAGAGAGGCAGCAGCTGCGGGTCAGTAGACTGCGTACTGCGAAACCTTCCCTGCCTTGAAGAAGAAGTGATCCTTCGTTGTGAAGAGTCTGCTTTGTGCGCTCCGCACCACAGCAGTAGCCCCGCTGCGACAGATTCCAACAGAGAGGCAGAGCTGCGGAACAGTAGCCTAGAAGCAGGGTTGGGTTGTAACGGCGTTACGTAATCAGAATATAAAAATCAAGTATATTCAGCTGGCGTTACATTTGAAAAACGAGTAATCTGGTTACAGTTACTTTCGTAAACCTGAAGTGAATACATTTTGGAATACTTATTGGAATTATTGGTGGAAAAGTTTCCTCACAAAATGTAATATTCATTAACGGCAGAGCTATGTGCACACTGCACGGCGCTGCAGCGTGTCTGTGAGAGAGAGATGCAGCGTGTCTGTGAGGCCCCGCCCCCGCACGCAGATGAGAGAGGGATCTCTTTTAAAATATGTTGAAAGTTAGAAACGGAGATGGTTAGATAAAATGTGAAAGATAACGTTTATGTAGCATTTCTTTATTGTCGAAATGATGACATTTATAACGGGATGAAATCAAAGTGAATGGCCTGCTGCTGCTGAATGCATGGGCCAAGTGACTGGAAACAGTTTTAAAAGTTATTACATCGTTTCAGATAATAATAATAAATAATAATAATGATAATTCATTCTATTTAGGGGCGCCTTTCAGAGTCTCCCTCCGCAGCCGGTTGGCATAGTTTTGGCACAATTCCGTTGTACAGACCGACGTTAACAGCAGCCCTATCTGTGCACACGGAGACCGACTCTGTCGTCCGGTGATCTAACCGCCTTCTGGAAAAGCTTCACAAGTACGTCGGTACGCAAATGCGCTTTGTGACACAAGTGACGGTACGCATTTCAGATTACGCACATAACCTGCGTACCAGTTATGTGCACTCCTGTACTACAGCAAAAGTATTCTCCGTCGGGACTTCCTGCAACAACACCACGCCGTTATCAAAGATGTTCTATTGAGAAGACGATCACGACGTGACAAAAGTTTTCAAAACCGTGGCTACTGAAATCAATCTGACTAACTGCTGTCTGTGCAATTTACTCCGCGAGTTGGCAGACTTTATTTTGCTTACTTTAACATAATTTTTCATGGTGGGGCTAAGCCATTTCTTGGTATGGGTGTAGCCTACCCCAGCCATACCCTGGCGCTGCCACTGGTGGCACGTATGGGGCGGGCCATTCTGCACATGCGTTAAATATTTTAACGCAATTAATTCAAAAAATTAATTACCGCCGTTAACGCGATAATTTTGACAACACTACTAAAGATATAACCTTGCACTTTGTCTCGTGAACATTTTCACTATTTTGACATTTTTATAGATGAAAATTGAACTAAAGAAATAAATGGTAGATTAATCCATATTGAAAATAGGTGTCAGCTGCTACACTAATTATTGTGAAGAAAACTTCTGCAGCAATATAGAGGAAATGATGGAAGCTGGATCATCTTTAGTCAAACACTGTTATTTATTGAGAGTATACGGCCAGAGAGATTACAAAGTTTATCACACTTCCATATGAGCCACCTAGCAACCTTTGTATTGCAACTCCTCATGTGCCCAAACCCCTCACCCCCAGGAAGTCAGAGGACCTCTTGACCTTTGTCCTCCTCATATTCCAAGCAGGAGTATATGCGACTTAACGAAAAGCATATCTTTGATTAACAGTTTCTCAGAAACGCTGAGAAACTCAAGACACAAAGAGATCGGATTTAAAATATTCTCTCACAGTTTCATTCTTTTTTTATCAATTTATGATAACCAATTAACATTAGTCTAAGAATATTTCAGTCAATACTTAAATCAATAAGCGTCTTCAGAGTTGTGTGGGCTCACATACATCAATTACATCAAAAGTCAAACAAGATTGAAAACACTTCAATCACCATGATTGAACACAGTCAATCATAACAGAAAAAATCATCTCTCTTCAGTGTTTGGCATAATTTGTCAAAAGCACAATAATAAACACACATGAAATACAAAAATATAATAGCAAAATATATGTTTCAAAAATAAGATCTTTTATCATTTATCACTCAGTTAATCTCATTCATCAAACACAAATTCAAAATCAGTTTACATCTCAAAGATTTACTTCAAGGCAATTACTTATTAAAACACAATTAGAATTTAGGATTATAAGAAATCCAATTGAGGTATAAAATCAGAATCATGAGAGATCCAGCTAAAATTCCCAGTTAAGGTATACATTCACAGTGATTAATCGATCAATCTGTAATCTGTAAAGTTACAGTGTCCTCAATCTTTAACA